GGGGGGGGGGGTTGGGGGGGGGGGGGTACTTGGATAGTTTGATAGTCACGTTGACATTTTCGAAGCAGAGTATCCTAGAGAGGATACCTCGTGACCTACCGGTAGGCACTTTTGGAAGGAGAGTCTGTTCATTGGGGTTGCATTTCACAATGTTGTTTCACCTGACTAGTTTGTTCTCGTCTTTCACAGATTATATGAAATATACCTTACTGCTGTTGCTTATATTACCGTTGGGACTAGTAGTCTGGGCCATGTAGGTAAATATATGTCATATATATATATATATATATATATATATATATATATATATATATATATATATATATATATATATATATGTGTGTGTGTGTGTGTGTGTTTTATATATATATATATATATATATATATATGTGTGTGTGTGTGTGTGTGTTCTGTAAATATATATTCTGTAAATATATTATTTGTAAATATATTATCTGTATATACATGCTCTGTTGATGTATGAATATGTTCTGTAAATTTATATTCTGTATATATATGTTCTGTAAATATATGTAATGTAAATATATTTCATGTAAATAAATGCTCTGTAATTATATATGTTTTGTAATATATATCCTGTAATAAATATATGTTCTGAAAATATATGTGCTGTAAATATATATTCTGTGAATATTTGTATGGCAAATATATGTTCCATTAATATATGAATATATTCTCTGTGAATAGTTGATATGTAAACATATGTTCTGTGAATATATGTTCTGTAAATATATGTTCTGTGAATATGAGTTCTGTAATCATACATTCTGAAAATATATGTCTTTAAACGTATGCCATTATATGCTCTGTCAATTTTACATCTGAATGTGTGTTTATATCACGTGATATCTACCTTGCAATTAAAAGACTTTTTAAAAAGTACGGCCCCATCCTATCTTAATGTTGTTGTTTTTTTCATCGAAAAATTTACCGGCATGGAATTATTGACAGTGAATTTAGTGGAGACAAAAACACCGAGAATGCATTTCGTTCAATTTTCCTGACATAGAACTTAAAAACAAAATCATATTTTGCAGTAATTGTTATTATTTTTGACAAAATAAAAAAAGGATTACACGACGATGAATCTTTATCCTCAGGGAAAAAAGACCCCAGGAGGAAGACTCTAGTCTAATTGCCTCCGTGAAGTCGTTCTCTATTGTGAATCTGTTTGACGAAACCGTCAAAGGAAGAGATGAAGTCGAAAGAGAAGTCATGCAGTTGATGACCATATCCGACCACAAGAGAGACAAATGACGTCGACAGTTTACTTCCGGTTCGCTCCCCATCTTCGATTCGCAGACGTGCCCCGCATTATTTGACCCTTTCGCTAATTTCTTTTTTCTCCAAATATTATTGTATTTTACTAAGTTAAATATCATTGTAAATAAATTAATCAATATTTTAAAAAAAATCAATTTGTTGATCGTTAAAGAAAGTTAAGTGACGCGATGAAGACGCGTGAAGTATTCACTGGCTCCGGAGCAGACAGGGTGAGATCAACCGAAACCACTCCCTTTCAGACTGTCTACTTTCAAGATCTCGTTTCCAGTTGGTTTAGTAGGGATGACCATGGGCGCCCGCAGAAAACATTCTAGGGGGGGGGGGCAAGAATCGATTAACTTTCCAGGGGGGGCAAACAAATTTTAGTAATGTTTTAATGCAGTTTTAATTTACTTTAGCGTATTTGTATGGTGAACGAACGGACAGGACATCAGCTTAGTTACTTTCTCTTTATTTTCTCTTTACTTTAATACATTTTTTGTCTATTTTTGTCTAAAAAAAATTTATCCAATCAATCCAGGGGAGGGGGGCAAGTGCCCCACCTTGCCCCTACCTGCGGGCGCCCATGGGGATGACGTATTCTGGCCTTTCCTTAAAACAATGCCACGCAAAGTTTGCTCAGCTGGGATGACGTATTCTGACGTCTCCTTAAAACTTTAAAACAATGATCTGCGTATATTATATATAATGCAACGGAGCGTGTTCACTTCACCGACTAAGATTAGTAGCGTCATGTTGATAGATATGTAGGAAAAAAAACAGAAAGAAGAACTAACAAATTCATTGCTATCATCTTTTTAAACACGAGATTTTTTTAAAGATATCACTTGTGTTCCCCCGAACCCCCCTTTTTTACTCCCCAACCCCATCTTTTCGATGTGGGAAATAAAATACTTTATTTTTAATACGCATGTTTTTGTCTTTCTCAATTTTATGTTACGGAAATTATTTGTAGGCTTTAAGAAGAAAATTCGTAGAACTGATTACCACGGATGCTCATTGCTTATACACAAATGTGTAAATCAAAGGGAAGATAAAACACATACAATTTTTTTTAAATGTCAAAGTAACCTCATGCATTTTCTCTAGGAACATGTCATCAATCGTATGGCATCTAGGGCACTCTATCGACATGTCCTATAACAATATGTCCTACAGCTAAATGTCCTCTAGCGCAATGTTCAGTGGGCAAATATCATCTTGCCTGATGTCCTCTACCCGCATGTCATCTGGGCATATGCCATCTAGCCATTTGCCTCTAACGAAAAGCCCTCTCGTCACATGTCCTTTAGCCAAATGCCCTCTATCCGCCTAGCCTCTAGCCACATGTGGGGTAGCCATATATCCTTTAGTCACGTGTCCACCAGCCACATATCCACTATAGCCACTTGTCCACTAGTCGTATGTGCACTAGTATGTGTACTAGCCACATGTCCACTAGTTGATTGTTAGCTAGCCACATGTCCACTAGCCACATGTCCCCCGACTTCCACGGTGGATTTCTTCTTGTTAAAATAAGTCCCCAGCATAACAATGTTTTTAATTTTTACCGATTCCATTCATGTCCTTAGAATCGTCAGACCACATCGTATTATTTAGAATCAATGGAAAGCTTATTTCTCAAAATTTAGATAAATATAGCTTCCTGCGACTTTAGAATCGTTGAATCTTTTTCAAAATGGTGGGGGTTTTTTCTGATCTAATTATAGGGTCACATCATTTCTGACGCATCAAGCCTGAAATTTTAATCACGGACACATTTGGATTGATTACATGTATGGAAAATGTACATGTGATCGGCTATCCTTTATGAAATTCGGTTTGACCGAGCAGTGTGTGCTCTGTAACTATACAATTTATCAACTTGGAGTCACCCTCTGGGATGGTGTCACCCGGTGCGGTCCACCCCCCCTCCCCTCCCCTCCCCCCCCCCCACCTGACTAGCTACGCCACTGTAAATAGCAATAAGTGGAAACAAATAATTTAAAAAAAACTATCGAGCTGCGTGCGTCGCGCATGCATGACGGTTAACTCAGGTAAACACAAAAAAGGTTGTTTTTTTTTTCGAAGGCGACTCAATCAATAAAGAGCCACGGGTATGGTGTAGGTCTGTCTATAGGACGATCTGTAAGTCTTTCTTTAGGACTATTGTTTAAAGGTCGGCAGGTAGGGTGCAGGACTGTCTTGTAGGACTATTGTTTAAAGGTCGACAGGTAGGGTGCAGGACTGTCTTGTAGGACTATTGTTTAAAGGTTGAGAGGTAGGGTGCAGGACTGTCTTGTAGGACTATTGTTTAAAGGTCGAAGGTAGGGTGCAGGACTGTCTCGTAGGACTATTGTTTAAAGGTCGACAAGTAGGGTGCAGGACTGTCTTGTAGGACTATTGTTTAAAGGTCGACAGGTAGGGTGCAGGACTGTCTTGTAGGACTATTGTTTTTAGAAAATGTGACGTCAACTCTTTATTTGTGTAACACTTTGGCCCACCGGGTATATTCTCAAAATATCCGCACTCGGTGTAAAAAAAAAATCTGCACCAAGTTAAGCCCTAGCTTTAAAATTCTGAGCTTTATTAAAATAGATTTTATAATCATTTCTAGAGAAAAAAATAATAATCTTTTAAATTTTAATCTTAATCTGATTTTTCTTTTTTTTTTTTGGTAGTCTTTTTAATCTCTGTTTTTATGGAGCTAGATTAAGCGCGGAAAACAAAATAAAATACATAATACCACGTGACAGACAACCAGCACCAATTGCGCGGTATTCTTAATGGAATCATTTTTTCCTGGTTCAATGTCGTGATCCACGGTTTTGTCCCGGAGAGAAAATATCAGCGTAATCTCTTCATATTGGCCTGCGGGTAGTTCATACGAACTCTCTTCTAACGAAGCGTTCATCAGTTTATACCGGGAGTTCACGCTGTAGCCGCTGGTTAGGACTTCGGCTGGGTCAAGTAGCCTCAGGGTCAGTTCTTGCTTGGTATAGGACCAGGATCCCAGCTGAATGCGACACGTTGCCCCGGAAAGAGACGTGAGGTTTTGGAGGTCACACGAAAAGCGCATGCGCTGCCTCGTTTTCCAGATGAGATGGCCTTCTTTGGTGACCTTGCCATTGTTGGGGGAAACAATCTCAGCTGCGCCGTCTTCTATCGTTATGTCAGGGCGCCACATGTAATGGATTGGCACGACAATCTGGAATGACAAGAAATGACAATCTGGAATGACAGGACATGACAATCTGGAATCACGAGCAACGACAATCTGGAATGACAAGAAACGACAATCTGGAATGACAGGAAACAACAATCTGAAATGACAAGAAACGACAATCTGGAATGACAAGAAACGACAATCTGGAATGACAGTACGCGACAATCTGGAATCACGAGCATCGACAATCTGGAATGACAAGAAACCACAATCCGGAATGACAAGAAACGATAATCTGGAATGACAAGAAACGACAATCTGGAATGACAAGAAACGACAATCTGGAATGACAGGAAACAACAATCTGAAATGACAAGAAACGACAATCTGGAATGACGAGAAACGACAATCTGGCAAAATTTGACGCAAATTTTATGAAAATTTGATCGTATGAATTGAGCAATAGTAAGACAATAAATGAATAGTAAAAAGAGAAACTTTTTTTTTTTTAAAAAGGCCATTTACCAGAAAGCGGCGAAACGCACTTAAAATTAGAAAAGTAATTTACATTTATTTCAAAATCCGCTTATCTAAAATTTCTTTTTAGACTCATTTGAAATGTAAACAAATTCAACACGTCATATCCTCTCCGTGGCATATTTCAGCTAATCATCTTTACAGGGTGCGTTTTAAGGTCGAGAGGTGCCAGTAAAATGGTTCTTACGTATCCACACATGCTGTACTCTTCTTGGTCCCAGGCGTACTCTGTGTTGGACCACATCGCTGTCTGAAACAGCAGAACCTCCACCTAGTTGATCCCGATGTCAGCCGTGACGATGTCCTCGAAGCTGTACCTCAGGAACACTGGCAACGGCCCTTCCCGTTGTGGGATGACTTCACTGGGGGGAAACGAACCCCTGGTCTTGAACAGATCTTGGGCTAAACGTCGTCCGACTTCGCCACATGTTAGCACAGCTGTCAGAATTGGATGAATGGATGGAGAAAAAAAAATTCCACTTTTAAATTACGATAAAAAATTAAACCATTGGCTAAATTATAGAGCCCCGTTAACAGAAAGCCAGTAGTTATTATTATTTATTGAATTGTTATTCTTTTTAATCTAGATCAAACATGACCTCCAACGAAGTGATTTTCAACCCCCCGCCCCCCTCCCTACCTTTCCTCGCAAAATACGTCCGCTTTACTGATATTTTGAGAAGCACTGCCTTAAGGAATAACAGTGGTTGTAACTAGGGACCTCCAAAACCTATGTTTAATTGTTTTAAAGATGTTTCTCCAAGTTTTGTCACATTGACAAATACTATGTAGCTCTGCCATTTAAAAAAAAAAAAAGGTTAGCAAATTTGAGAACCGACCTCGGCTTGAGGCAAGTGTCACGCGGTCCTTGAAGACGCTCATAAGGTGAAACCTGTGAATAGCACAATCTCCCATTTGTTTTGACATCATTGAGAAACGACCTAAAGTGGTTCCATTTTTAAAGGGTTCGTGCTATTCGCGGGTCAAGCCAGAAGGGTGATCATGCACGATGACAAGAAATAAGAACAGACATGAACACTGAAAATGAGAAGAGATGAGAAAACGCGCAGGGACGTGCATGAATGCGGAACGATGTCGGAAACAAAGACACATCAAGATTTTGATATGTTCAAACATTCTTCACGCAGTCCTTTTACGTCAACGTGAATAATTACGTTGTTTGAAAAATTCTGTCATGAAACTCCAACCTAAAGAATGTGTACACGGGCATCGCCGCTGTCTACAGCGTTGTTTGAGTTATGCGTTTGCAAAATGTACACACAGTTTCCACGGCTCCTCCACAATACAACCACCCCTCCCCCCACCACGGCTCCTCCACAATACAACCCCCCCCCCACCAGTCTCGTCGCAAATCTCTCCAACCTAAAGAAAGTGTACACGGGCATCGCCGCTGTCTACAGCGTTGTTTGAGTTATGCGGTTGCAAAATGTACACACAGTTTCCACGGCACCTCCACAATTCAACCACCCCTCCCCCCACCACGGCTCCTCCACAATACAACCCCCCCCCCACCAGTCTCGTCGCAAATCTGACAACACGCTGTTTCATACTGACTTTTTAGAAACACGCAAAGGCGCAACATTGCTACACCTACCAGGTAGCACTAGGTACACCATTGCTACACCTACCATGTATCATTAGGCACAACATTGCTACACCTACCACGTAGCACTATACACAACATTGCTACACCTACCAGTAGCACTAAACACAACATTGCTACGCCTACCAAGGACACACTAGGCACACCATTGCTACACCTACCAGGTAGCACTAGTCACATCATTGCTAGACCTACCTTGCAGCACTAAGTCCCTAGACCAGGGGTCGGCAACCTTTTCAGACGGAAAAGCCAAAAGTTACAATTTACCAAATTTCCCAGTTTTTAAAGAGCCACTAACATTTTTATTTCAATATAATTATTAATATTTGCGCATTGAACTGGAGAGCCGCATCTTGAAATCAAAAGAGCCGCAGGTTGATGACCCCTGCCCTAGACACATGGCTAGTCCGACCTGGCAGAACTAAATCACTAAACATAACATTTCTAGTCCTACCTTGCAGCCTGGCAGCACTAGGTCACTAGACACAACATTGCTTGTCCTACCTGGCAGCACTCGAGCCATTAGACACAACATTGCTAATCCTACCTGGCAGCACTCTAGGTCATTAGACACAACATTGCTAGTTCTACCTGGCAGCACTCTAGGTCATTAGACACACCATTGCTAGTTCCACCTGGCAGCACTCTAGGTCATTAGACACAACATTGCTAGTTCTACCTGGCAGCACTCTAGATCATTAGACACAACATTTGCTAATCCTACCTGGCAGCACCAGGCACAAAGTAAGAGCGCAACCTCCGTGTACCGCCATCTTAAAGTTATAAGATAATCTCATGAGTTCCTGAAGTCTGCAAACAGTACAGTAAAAAATGAACGAAAGAATAATATGACTTTTATTTCCTGACCTCGATTCGGAGAATGGTATGTGTGGAACAGTGAACCCAACATTTTTTTTTTAATAAATAGAACCGTGAAAAGGTCAAAATGTTCGTCCTACCCCCACTCCACCCCCACCCTACCCCACCCCACTCCAACCCCACTCCACCCCCAGAAGTGGAAACATACTAAAACAGCGTACGGCTGACTTGAGAAGAAGTTTTGGGAAACTTTCTTTAAAAAAAGAATTTAAAAAAGTGTTTCATGTTCTCACAGTGAGAATGAGCTCTTCTTTAGATCTACCAAACGAGAAGAAACCAAACCAAACCAAACCAAACGAGAAGAAACCACACCAAACCAAACCAACTTTTAAAAAAGAAATTGCATTATCTCGGTTTCTGATCGTTGAGGTAGAATAATTGCAAAAACAACTTCTTAAAATTAAATTTGGGGATGTAGGGTGGGGTGGGAGGAGGGGGGGTGGTAAGAGTACATGAGCTCTTTTTGAATTCTGTCTGAAAGACGGTTATCTGCGGTTAACAGGGGGACTGTTATCTACGGTAAACAGAGGTGCTTTGTACAAGTGCAACCAAAAAAAAAATAATAAAAAAATTAAATAATAATAATTTAAAAACCGGTAGTTATTATTTGATTTAATTAGACATTAAATTTTGTGTGTGAAATGTAACTGCCAATTGATTTGGAAATATATTTTTTTCATAGTATTTAAGTGTTATTTTAAATTTTTTTTTTTTTTTTTTGTTGTATGTTTGGCGAAAGTCGAGCTTTATTTTTCTTTTGTTTTCCCTTTGAAGGCCTTTACTACTTAAGGATATCATTTGTTAGGAAGCTTACGCGTCTTGTCCTTCCAAACGATTCTTTATTTCAAATACTTCTTTAAAGTTTCAAGCTTATTTTCTTAAGTCTTTTAGGCGTAAAGATTTTCTTTTCTTCGAAATTCTAAGGAACAATTGTTTAATTACTGCATTATTAAACTTCCAATTTTGCTTAAAAATGGCCGTGACTCGATCTTTATCTATTTCGCCCGCTTGTGCTCGCGCAGTTTGTGCACTCTTAGCTCCTGACCTAAAAATAGGGGTGATATATTTGAAACGAGGTTAACTATACACTTCTCGCGTGACTCGAGTTCACCTTTTTAAAACTTACTTTTTAGTGGTGTATCGACATTCGACAGTGGCATACGTTGAGACTGACTCTACGCGTGTTCCAGTACACAGGAAATAAGAAACATTTCGTTTGTTTGAAAATTAGATTAACGCGTTTTGAGTTTAGCCACCAGACAAATCCAGATGGAGCATGCAATGGTGCAGGAAATGATGCATGAAATGGTGCATGAAATGATACATGAAATTTTGCATGAAATGATGCATGAAATGATGCATGAAATGATGCATGAAATGATGCATGAAAGGATGCATGAAATGATGCATGAAATGATGCATGAAATGATGAATGAAATGATGCATGAAATGATGCATGAAATGGTGCATGAAATGATGCATAAAATGATACATGAAATGATGCATGAAATGATGCATGAAATGATGCATGAAATGGTGCATGAAATGATACATGAAATGATACATGAAATGATGCATGAAATGATGCATGAAATGATGAATGAAATGATGCATGAAATGATGCATGAAAGGATGCATGAAATGGTGCAGGAAATGATGCATGAAAGGATGCATAAAATGCTGAATCAAATTATGCATGAAATGATGCATGAAAAGGTGCATGAAATGATGCGTCGCGCGCTGTCATCTAGACACGAAAAATGCGCGTATAATTTAGTCCTTACATGTTAGGCTTACATCTGATTTCAACGAAACGATTCCTTGGATTTCTCAAACACAAAAAAGTATGCTGTCAGCAGGCCCGCGCCTAGGAAATTCTGCTCCCCAGGCAGCTGACAGAGTTCGTCGGGCCCATTTCGTGTTTCAAACATGTGCGTACATTTGAAAAACTCGAAAAATGGGTGGGCCCCAATCTAGCTCGGGCCCCTGACAAGTGCGATGGATGTCTCCCACCTAGTTGCAGGCCTGCTGTCAGTTCCATACTCTGGAGGGTGTTGCTCAAACTCCTCAAAGTCCTTTTGGGTGGCTTTCTTATTTTTTTCTATTGCAGCTGTTGCAGTTGTTTTTTATTTGTTTTTTTCGCCATCTGGTTATTTACTAGGTATACTTTGTGTCAATTCACTTCATACAGTTCACGTGTGTGGCGTATGTCATTAGCCAGCCGCACATGGACTGTTGAGAACGTTTGAACATCTCACTCCCACCATCTCACTCCCACCATCTCCCTCCCACCATCTCACTCCCACATCTAACTCCCACCATCTCACTCCCACATCTAACTCCCACCATCTCACTCCCGCCATCTCACTCCCGCCATCTCACTCACACATCTCACTCCCACCATCTCACTCCCACCATCTCACTCCCACCATCTCACTCCCACCATCTCACTCCCACCATCTCACTCCCACCTCTCCCCCCCACCATCCCACCCCCACCCTCTCACCCCCACCATCTCACTCCCACC